GCCGCCATCAGGCTACGCCGACCGGTCCTGTGCGCCCAAAAGAACTTCGTCGTGGCGCCGTAGTTACTACGAGCAAAAGCCGCTAATCCAACAGCCAGCAGTTTATCACCTCGGCCGACTACCAGTCTTCCCTAACATTGATCAGATTTTGACTCCGATTCCACCCCTTCCCCCTCCCTGACAACCGTACTATTTTTTTCTACCAACCCGCATAGTCTATTTACTTAATTACCATATAAATGTAACGGCATGACGAGAATTTATCGAAAACAAACGTATGTTCGCTAATTCATCTTCTGAACTAGACGTAGCCCAATTTCGCCCCACCAGAAACTACGGTCACATGTTACTAGGATGACACTGCACAAACTCAATATGAAAATGTGCCACACGCTTCATATTCTCACGATCTTTCCTTCACTTATTACCACCTTTCATGCATTTAAATATTTTTTAACCAACCAAGTTTTCAAGAAAAGAACTGAATTAGAAGCTAGATACAAAGATTTACTGGCATAAAAGCCAGTGCTTTATTTCTCGATAAGCCACAAATAATCTTGTTCATCTCGATCGCAGAGATGTTCGCAGATCATACCTTGGCTAGTTTCCCCATAAGTGGTGTTACAGTTTTCAAGAATAAATGTTGCCTTCTGAAATAGGCCTACATTTTTCAACAACATAATACCACAGATGGTCAAATTTTCACACTGCAACTCAATTTGACACAATCTTTTTTTCTATATGCTACTGTCGCTTTGTTTTTACTTGTTCCCTGAAATCATAACTGCTCCCGTTTTTATCGCTTCTTTGTGGACACGCGGAAGTCCGTAAAAACGGATAAAGTGGAGGATTTTGTGGAATTCTGTTGTTGAAGAAAACCCCACGTCAAATTGTCAGACAAAATGTCTGAGGCACTGGATGTCAGTATTCCAGTTGTGTCCGACCATCTGACGCAAACGGCTAAGGTAAAAAAGCTCGATAAATGGTTCCCGAATTAGCGGCAAACGAACTGAAAAAATGCATGCTCGATTGGAGCCAAATGAGGTGTGCATCAATGAAATGCTATGACCCCATTCTGTTCCACGACAAAATACGCTCACATGTTGCTAGAATGGCACTAAAGAAACACAATAACTTGAGATACGAGACTTTAAACTTGCATAAATTTCCATCAGAGAATTCAGAAGACTATTAAGCGAGCCTACATAGGTATGGAAAGCGGGTAAGGGTTACAAGATAAATATGCGGGCCATTTGGTTCATCAGTACAGGCAAATTAATCATGGAAAAAGGAGAGAGGGAGAAACAAAACCCGACACACCCACTGCGGAATAGAATAAGTTATTCCTTAGAGTCTCCTTTCAAGTTTATACGGCAAGTGAACTCTTAAAAAGATGTCTTAACCAAACCGTGTCACAAACCTTACCAGCAACGGAAATTCTGGCATTATTTTCAACAAGCTCAGTCCTGTATGGCGCTGGTAAAGAAAAGCTGCCAGCTCAGACCACTTGCATGTACACCTACTCATTTACTTGCTCCTGTGGAGCAGGTTATATCAATCGCACGAGTCGGCACTTATCCAAAAGAATGGAGAAGCACCTCTCAACGTGGCTGAGCAAAGGTGAAATCAGGAGCCTCAACAACGACATTCTTGCCCACATGCTTGAATATGGACATCGTGTGGACCCCAACGAAGCCTTCGAGGTGGTTTATGAGGACCCACTGAAATATCCAATGTCCCCGGGTCAGCGTTTGCTAGCAACAACAGAAGCAACTGCTATCCGGTTGAGCAAGCCGGTTTTGTGCGCGCAAAAGAACCTCCTGCAAGCTCCGAGTTTAACATGGCCAACGGTCACATAACTGCCTGCATCTTTTCGTGCATTCTCTCTCCCTTCCACCCTTCCCCTGCCCGACTTCAACAAACCCTCATTACCGCATAACTAGCCGCATATTATTAACCCCCCAAATCCCTCCCCTATTCCCATGACCAATTAGCCTGTAATGATGAACGTATTTGCACGCATGTTTGCCTTGTACACTTTGCCTCCTTCCCACATAAATGTAATAGCCCAATGAGAATTCATTGAAAGCCTACATGTGCGCGCCAACTATTCTTCCGAATACGGGGGTTTGCTGTATCATCCATTTGCTTGCGATCTTTCATCCACTGAGTACCACTTTTCAATCATTTTGAGCAACAAAACTTCTAAGAGCAAACCAGTGGTGGAAACTGGATTCAAATAGCTCATATAGTCAGGACCAACGGACTGATGGCACAAATATGTAGATGGTCGATGATCCTACCTTGAATACTTTTAACATGAATAATACTAATTTTTATAAATCATTAATTTTTGTTTCGGAAATCGGTACAACTTTTCAGAATAACCCAATAGTTCTCTTGACTCCGTACGAATGGCCATGGTAAAAGGCTAATTGATTTCATTTATTTCTACGCTCTGAGTTTTGCTGGTTAACGCAGTCCCGATCAGCACATCAAAGGTGGATTGAACAAAATCCGTCCTTCATGTTTTCATACAATAAAAAGCCAAAACTTTTTTGCCACACGTAAAGTGGACTTGAGTACGCTCTTAGAAGGTGAGCCAGTGTTATTAAAAATTGAACGAGAAAATGTTTTTTTCATATTTTAAGTGGCTATTTGCAATAGATATTCGCACAAGCACTAAATTCAAATTTTAAGTTTTACTGGTCTGCTCAGAAGCATATGTCTTTTAGCGAATATTGTAGCTGTTCTCACGACATGA